CGGCCGAACTTTTTATACCCTCCACCATTTGAAAGAAACTTGAAAAATGTAACAAGTAAAAGAACATTAAGTTCGGCCGGGCCAAACTTTTAATACCCTCCACCTTAGGGTAAAGGAAACATTAAAAGAAATGTGGCAAAAACCATCAAAATACCGAATATCGGAGGGTACCGTTATATGGGGGATATACCAAATCATGGACCTACACATGCAAGGTTTCGCCAACGAAGCTAGAACCCATTATGACCTACAAATACCAATTTTCAGACAAATACGTGAAAAAAATGTGGCAAAAATCATCAAATTTCCGAATATCGGGAGGTACCGTTATATGGGGGCTATACCAAACCGTGGACCTATATTTACAATGACTCGCCATACGAACTGGGACCCATTATGATCTACAACAACCAAATTTTCAGAGATATTCGTAAAAAATGTGGCAAAAACCATCAAAATACCGAATATCGGGAGGTACCGGAATATGGGGGCTATACCAAATCATGGACCCATACATGCAATGTTTCGCCACCGGAGCTGGAAACCATTATGACCAACAAATAGCAATTTTTAGACAAATCCCTGAAAAAATGTGGCAAAAATAATTAAAATTCCGAATATCGGGAGGTACCTTTATATGGGGGCTATACCAAAACGTGGACCTATACATGCAATGTTTTGCCACACGTACAGGGACCCGTTATGACCTACAAATACCCGTTATGACCTACAAATCATGGACCCATACATGCAATGTTTCGCCACCGGAGCTGGAAACCATTATGACCAACAAATACCAATTTTTAGACAAATCCGTGAAAAAATGTGGCAAAAATAATTAAAATGCCGAATATCGGAAGGTACCTTTATATGGGGGCTATACCAAAACGTGGACCTATACATGCAATGTTTTGCCACACGTACAGGGACCAGTTATGACCTACAAATACCAATTTTCAGACAAATCCGTGCAAAAATATGGCATAAATCATCAAAATACCGAATATCGGGAGGTACCGTTATATGTATACCAGAACGTGAACCGATATATCTCATTTTCAATACCAACCATCTTACACACAATACCAATTGCTCTGCTAAGTTTTGGCGCTCTACGTCAAATAATGTGGGCTGTATCGTGATTTCAACAGACAGACGGACAGACAGACAGACGGACATTGTTAAATCGACTTAGAATTTTATGCTGATTATGAATATATATACTTTATGGGGTCTACGACGAATATTTAAGGATGTTACAAACGGAATATCCCTCCTTTCCAAGGTGGAGGGTATAAAAAAAACTCCGTCGAAAAATAATGCTCTACTAAAATCTAAATGCTCTAGCTAAAATCATCAAAATACCAGGGTACCGTTATATGGGGACTATACGATATCGTGAACCGATATAGCCCATCTCCGAACTTGACCTGCCTGCAGATAAAAGTCGGATCTGTGCAAAATTTTAGCTTCCTATCTTTATTCGGCATCTGTGGACCATCACGAACCAGAATGTGAACATGTGTTCATTTTTCCTGTCGCAATCAAAGAGAAAATCCAGGAGATTACGAAAGTAGAGCGAGAAACAGAAAAATTTCCAAACAATATTTGTTTGGCCCAGGGACGAATCCTATTGAAATTTGAATCGTCTCAAATTTAAATATAGCTTCCCCAAATATCTTGAACCGATCTCGGCTTAATTGTGCACCAAATCACCAATATCAGTTCAAATGACCTGAATTTTGGCACATCCGACCGAAGTCAGTTTAGAAGCAATTACATCATAAAATTTTGCTATAGGCTCTAGAAGACGTCAAAAATCTGAAATCTTATCTTTACGCCAGAATTCCATATACATTAAACATACATTTTAGGATTAAAACAGTACTTTGTGTCAGTTTATGTATCTCAATCTCAAGCAGAGCATCTACTTAGAGGGATGATTTCAAAGACAAAAATTTTTAGGATTTCCATTGTTTATCAAAAAGAAATTTACATCAATGTTCCATAAAAGAAGGAAAAAAAAAAAACAAGTAAAAATGCAGCTAAGTTCAGCCCGAATACCCTCCACCATTGAGAACGAATTTGGCAATTTTCGAAAAAAAAAAAAAAAAAATAAAATCCGTTAAAAATTCTGTTAAAATTTTAAAAATACCGAATAAAACCATAATATTGGGGTCCATACGAAGACGTGGACCTGCATAGGCAGTTTTTGTCGTAAGCCATTACAATATTCAATTACGAAACTTGAGAAAAATTCCGGTTAATAATAACGGAAAAATCATCAAAATACCGAATATCAAGAGGTACCGTTATATGGGGGTTATACGAAGACGTGGACCTGCACAGACAATTTTCTGTCATAGGCTGCAGTTTCCATTACGAACTTCAAATACCAAATTTGAAATAATTCCGGTGACTAATGTCGGTAAAATCATCAAAATACCGAATATATGGAGGCTATACCAAAACGTGGACCAGCACAAACAATTTTCTGTCTAAGGCTGTAGTATCCATTACGAACTTCAAACACCAAATTTGAAACAATTCCTGTGAATAATGTAGCTAAAATCATTAAAATACTGAATATCGGGGGTACCGTTAAACAGGGTTGCCCATATTCGTCGGACCCATGTTTTTTTTTTTTAAATCAAAGAAAAAAAATAAAAATTTGGCGGTTGGCAATGTTAATCATTTAATTTGTTCCAAGTAGATTTGTTTACATCAATTTTTGAATACGAAATCTCTCAAATGGTGTTGATGACGTATTGTGCCCTTTTTGCTGCATTTTCCGTCGTTTTTGCCAACATTTGGGCCGGAATAGCGGCTATTTCTTTACGAATGTTGTCCTTGAGCTCTTCTACGGTCCTTGGCTTGTTAACGTAAACCTTTGACTTCAAATACCTCCACAAGAAGAAGTCAGGCGGCGTCAAATCGGGCGAACGCGGTGGCCAGTCCAAATCACCACTTTTCGACATCAAACGGCCCGGAAACAAATTCTTCAGAAAATCAATTGTTATTCGACTTGTATGCGGTGGAGCGCCGTCTTGTTGAAACCAGAACTGCCTCATACGCTTTCGACGAATAATTGGCATCACAAAATTGGTCATCATGTCGCGATAACGCTCCTGATTGATGGTAACAGCATGGCCACTTTCATTTTGGAAGAAAACGGCCCAATGACCGTTTTCGCACTAACGCCGCACCAAACTGTGACTTTTTCGTCATGAAGAGGCACTTCTTAAATCTTCTGAGGATTTTCAGTGGCGTAAAAACGGCAATTTTGCTTATTTACGGTCCCATTCAATGTGAAATGGGCTTCATCGGACATGATAATTTTGTTCCAAAATTGCTCGTCATCTTCGGCCATTTCGATGACTCTTTGGGCCCATTCCAATCGACGAGGCCTGTCCGCAGGCAACATTCTTTGCGTCAATTGAATTTTGTACGGGAACAAATGCAAATCAATGCGAATAATCCGTTGTAAAGTGGACCGAGCCATGCCAAACTGCTGAGAACGGCGTTTTTGGGATGTTCCTGGGGACCTCTCAACACTGGCTCGTACGGCAGCGATATTCTCGGCCGATCGCCTTGGTCAACTTTTATATGGCCTTTTCGGATTAGAAAGAGCCTTACCAGTCGAAAATTTTTCGTATAAACGCTTAATGGTGTTCTTAGAAGGCGCACTTCTCACATTTTTTTAATGTTTTAAAAGCACGTTGAGTTTTCACAATTGACTTCTTCTGTTGAATGTAAATTTCAACTATTTCAGAGCGCTCGCGTGGCGTGTATTGGTTCATGCTAAAAATCTGCTTGGACTGACGCTTCAAACGCGGTATATCATTAAGCGATGTGACATCTCTGTCAAAAGTTAGGGCGTTGCCAGATGGGTCCGTCGAATATGGGCAACCCTGTATGGGGGCTACGAAGACGTGGACCTGCACAGACAATTTTCTGTCTTAGGCTGTAGTACGAACTTCAAATACCTAATTTGAAACAATTCCGGTGAATAATGTCTCTAAAATCATCAAAATACCGAAATACCATTATGTAGGCTATACAAAAACGTGGATATTTGAGTAAAATTTTATCGATTTCCAGTGATTTCCACAGATTGATAGACGGATGGACATCGCTAAATCGACATAGAATTTTATGCTCATCAAGAATATTTACTCTGTGGGGTCTAAAATGTATATTCTGAGGTGTTACAAACGGAATGACAAACTTAATATACCCTCCATACTATGGTGGAGGTTATAAAAAAATTGGACCGACATGATCCATTTACTAACGTTCGAAAGATAGCGTGACTGCAATAGACAGACGGACATCGCTATCGACTTAGAATTTTACGCTGATCCAGAATATATGACAAAGCTAATATACCCTCCATAGAATGGTGGAGGGTATTAAAAAAAACATAATATCCTGAATAATTTATGAAAATTTTAATCATAATTTAATGCTTGAGTTATCTCAAGCAAATGGTAGCCGGGACCGCGTCTGAAATTGTCCATCCGCACAGTCCAATTTTCTTATACTCTCTTAAATATTTCGGTTGATGTCTCACGAATAAATGCTCCAGATTTGTATGTTTCTGATGAAAAATGTACATAGGCTTTGTAGCACATCAACATATTTTCGCGCATTTTTCAATTTTCAATTGTTTATAATTTATTTATTTATTGGGAATTTGAGAAGTTTTTAACAATTTGTCGAAATAATGGTTTTGGAAATCCTGTCACATCAAGTAGACAAAAGCTTTTGAAATATGTAGATAAAAATTAAAATGAAATAGTTTAAATGCGAACAATTTGAGTGGAAATTTTTTTTACAAAAAATTGATTTCAGGGATGTAGTTTAAATATTTTATTAATAACAGATTAAATATAAAAAATTTTAAATTAAAATAAAAATTTTAAATTAAAATATAGTTTGACTTTTTTTGCATAAAATATTATATTAATGAATGACTTTCTTTTCTATTTTCTTTGCAGTACAACGAGGAATTTTAAATATGTAAGTTATACAGCAAACACCCTTTGCTCGGATCAAGCGTTCTCAATCGAATAATTCTCATTCCGAACTATTTTTATTAATTTTCCATTTCTCCTCTTGCAGTAACAGTAAAGTTTCCCCCAAAAGCGAAAAGAAAATCTATAAAGGTCAGCGTAATGCGCAAACAACAAGTCTATACCTGGAAGATGGTCTCAAACCAAAGTATCCAATATTTGGAACACCCCTGGACCAATTGGAACTGAATCGGACCACGTGTCCGAATGTGCCACGTTTTGTTGTCGATTCCATTGAGTATATTGAACGTAACGATCGCATCGTACAGGATGGTCTCTATAGAGCGTGTGGCAATAAATATATCATCGATGAGCTGAAACAGAAACTTAGCAAATCATATATTTATGATCCGAAATTAATAACAGCCGATGATATACACACTGTGACGAGTTTACTCAAGCAATTCTTTCGAGATTTGCCACAACCGCTGATACCGCAGGAGACGTACAATTGTCTGGCACGTGATCTGCTCAAATCGTCGGAGAACAGCAACGATACATTCCGAATAGCAATAAATGAGATGCCCGAACCGAATAAGTCGACATTGGCATTTCTAATAAAGCATTTAACAAAGTGAGTATGAGAATGTTTATGAAAAGCATTATATTTCTGCTAGCTAACCACGGACAGGGTCAGCTAGTAGAGATATGAAAAAAAAATTTATATGCCGATCCGTCTTTTTAAATTTGAAGGGTTATTTTAAAATCGTTGATTAAACATAATTTGAAAGACCTAACCCTTTCTAAAAAATGATGACTTGCAACTGAGGACATTTTGAGAAATGAAAACTTTTCCATCCATTTTTTAAGGTCCATTATTTAGGATAACAGACACTTGTCGTACTCCTAAGATGATTGTCCTCTGTTTTAATATTGGTTCCATAAATGGACACCGGTCAATGTTATTTACTATAAACCTAACCGAACCAGCTGTAATATAGTGGTACCGATCGATTTTATTTATTTTTAACCTAAGAGCCTGTAATAGGTATTTGCTATTACTTCTATAAAATGGTAATACTCCAACCTATGCTTCTAAGGACCTTAGAATATTTTGTCTCTAAGATAAGCTCTAAATGTAAGATTCGTTCCACCAGTACCTTTTAGTACTCAAAATGCACAATTCGTGATTTTTTTCTTGGACACAATTTCAAAACATAACTTCATACATCCTAGTAACTGTTCAATTTTATTTATTTTCAAGTGTTCCCTTTACCGAAAAGGATAATCGCAAAATTATTACTTTTTGCACCAAAAAGCCTTCAAGCTCCTTCGTTTCGAAGAGGATATGAGTTGAGCCCTTGGACTATGGTCCCACATCCATTTTTTCTGGCCAAAACTATTTCAACGTCTTCTCATCTTCGTCCAGAAACCAACCGACCTCGATAACAAATTTCGGGATTTAAACTCTATCCATTTACTCAACGCAAATTGAGTACTTTTTGGAATTTTGCAATTTGTATACGTTCATATAGCACATTTCTAAAACTACCTTCTCCTCTCAACTACCTACAGACACAAACAGTGCCGTCCATGTCAAATTTTCTGGATTCCAACCTTATCCCTTTACCCAATACCAAATTGGGCCCCATTTAGTACTTTTCGTACCATTTTTGGTACACATTTCCAAAACCAACTCCATACAGGGTTGCCCATATTCGACGGACCCATCTGGCAACGCCATAACTTTTGACAGAGATGTCACATCGCTTAATTACATACCGCGTTTGAAGCGTCAGTCCAAGCAAATTTTTACCATGAACCAATACACGCCACGCGAGCGCTCTGAAATTGTTGAAATTTACATTCAACAGAAGAAGTCAATCGTGAAAACTCAACTTGCTTTTAAAACATGTGAGATGTGCGCCTTCAAAGAACACCATTTTCGACTGGTAAGGCTCTTTCTAATCCGAAGAGGCCATATAAAAGTCGACCAAGGCGATCGGCCGAGAATATCGCTGCCGTACGAGCCAGTGTTGAGAGGTCCCCAAGAACATCCCAAAAACGACGTTCTCAGCAGTTGGGCATGGCTCGGTCCACTTTACAACGTACAAAATTCAATTGACGCAAAGAGTGGTATTCCTTGGACCAATACCCTATTTAGTACCACTTAGTACTCTCCGAACAATTGCAGTGCAAATTTCCAAAACCACATCCATATTATAAGCAGTGACACCAACGGTGGCATCCATGTCAAATTTGAGGATTCAATCTCTACCTAATTTAGTACTCTAATTCCAAATTTAGTACTTTTCGTATAATTTTGGTACACATTTTCGAAAACACCTCCATATCTCATTTCTATATGCCAACAGAAACCTTAATATCAAATTTCAGGATTCCGGCTCTATTCTCTCACTCTATACCCCTTTTAGTACCACTTAGTGCTTTTTGAACAGTTACAGTGCAAATTTCCAAAACTACATCCGTATCATAAGCAGTGACACCAACGGTGGCAACCATGCCACATTTGAGGATTCAATCTCTACCTAATTTAGTACTCTAATTCCAAATTTAGTACTTTTCGTACAATTTTGGTACACATTTTCGAAAACACCTCCATATCTCATTTGTATATACCAAAAGAAACCTCAATATCAAATTTCAGGATTCCGGCTTATTCCTTCATTCAATGCCCTATTTAGTACCACTTAGTACTTTTCGAACAATTACAGTGCAAATTTCCAAAACCACATCCATATCTTAACCACAGACAATAATGCTGACGTCTCCATCAAAATTCCGGATTCCACTTTTCCAGCCAATACCAAATTGAGTACCATTCGTAAAATTTTGGAAACCACCTCCGTATCTCAATCCCAGATACCAACAGAAACCTCAATATCAAATTTTGAGATTCCAGCTTTATTACTGCACCAACTACTCAATTTAGTACTTTTCGAAAAATTATAGTGCAAATTTCCAAAACTCTCTCCACATCTATCCTGCACCCAATACCAAATTTGGTACTATTTAGAACTTTTCATACAAATTTGATACACATTTCGGAAACCACCTCCATATTTTATTTCTAGATACCAGATACCATATCTCATTTCTCAGAAACCATATCTCATTTCTAGATACCAACGGAGACTTTAATATCAAATGTGAGGATTCTAGCTCTATCCCTTCATCCATTAAAAATGTAGTACCATTTAATACTATCTGTACCAGAGATGGGCATAATGCACTGTATTTTTAGTGCACTAATAATTTCACTATCACTGTTCATTTAGTGGTAGTGCAGTTTTTAATTCCACTACCACTAAAGGGTTAGTGGTAGTGAAAAATAAATTGCACTACCACTAACCCTTTAGTGATATTTAAAAAAAAATTGCACTACCACTAAATTTTAGTGGTAGTGAAATTTCAATAGCACTACCACTAAATTTAGTGGTATTTAAAAAAAACTTGCACTAAATTAGTGGTATTTCATAAAAAATAGCACTAAATTAGTGCTATTTAGAAAAGTAAACAAATTTTATGAATATGTACTATATATTCTGGATTGTTGTTCCCTACTCACTTTAATAAACTTCATTATAGCTGGTATAATACTTATATACATAGTGCTTTTTTTGGCTTCGCTAAAATTTAGTGGTAGTGCAATTTTTTTTTGAAAAATCACTAAATTTAGTGGTAGTGCTATTAAAATTTCACTACCACTAAAATTTAGTGGTAGTGCAATTTTTTTTTAAATATCACTAAAGGGTTAGTGGTAGTGCAATTTATTTTTCACTACCACTAACCCTTTAGTGGTAGTGGAATTAAAAATTGCACTACCACTAATTATTTAATTCTTAGTGCACTAAAAATTTAGTGCAATATGCCCAACCCTGATCTGTACAAATATAGGACTCATTTCCAAATCACCGTCAATCCTTAAACACAGATACCATCAGTAATCAACATATCATAATTGTACCTCTATCCCTTCACCCAATACCAAATATAGTACCATTCAATACTTTTCTCACAATTATGGTACGCATTTCCGAAACCCCAGCCATATAAACAGGCTACATTAAACATCCTAGACCCTAATAACAAATATCAGATTTCAAGCTCTATCTGTCCACCGAATACCAAATTGTACCATATAAAGTACTATTTAGTACTTTCCGTGAACTTGTAGTACTCACTTCCAAACCCACATCCATATATCTAGGCTAGACATAAACAGTGACCCTAATACAAAATTTCAGATTTCAAGCACTATCTGTTCACTCAATATGAAATCGTACAAAATATAGTACAATGAAGAACTTTTCGTACACATGTAATAGTACACAACATATAGCACACATTTCCGAAACCACCTATATATGTCTAGGCTACACAGGAACAGCCTAGACCCTAATACTAAAGTTCGGATTTTAAGAATACCAAATACCAATACCAAATTGTACCAAATATAGTGCTATTTAGTACTTTTTCTTACACTTGTAGTATATAACTCCACCAGTATCTCTTTATCACAAACCTACTACCAAAATTGACGTCAATACAAGATCTCAAAATTCCACCATTATCCTTTCACCCTTTACCAAACTGTTCCAAATTTAGTGCAGTTCGGACTTACTTTCTCACCTAGATTATCATACAAAATCTTAAGCTCTCCGTTCACGCAATACCAAATTGTACCATTTTAGAACTTTTTGTGACCCTAAAGTTCAAAATTTCCAAAATTCCTTTGATACTTCTATTCTGCACTCCAATTTTCCGAATTCTAGCTTATTCCGTTTGTCCAATACAAATTATTTAATTTTTAGCACATTTTAATACTTTTCGTATCCTTTTAGAATTAAAGTATTTCTATCAAGTAAGCAAAGGCTATAGGCGTGCGGGGCCGACCATTTGATACCCGACAACACTATAATATCTTGGAAGCCCCCGATATTCGGTATTTTGATGATTTTAGTACCGGAATTGTTTCAATTTTGGTTTTTGAAGTTCGTAATGGATACTACATCCTAAGAACAAAAATGAGTCATGTAGATCCACGTCTTCGTATAGCCCCCATATAACGGTATCTCACTATATTCGGTATTTTGGTGATTTTAGCGTCATTATTCACCGGAATTTTTTCAAATTACGCATTTGGAGTTCGTAATGAAAACTACAGTCTGTGACAGACAATTTGACGAGTTTAGGTACAATACTCACCAAAATTGTTTGAAATGTATTTGAAGTTCGTAATGGATGCGACAGCCTATGACAGAAAATTATCTATCCTGGTCCAGGTCTTCGCACAGTTCCGAATTTGAATTTGGTAATGACTTTTGACAAACAATGTCTATGTGCGTCCACGTCGTATAGACACCAATACAACGGCTATATTCGGTATGTTTAAAATTTTAATAGAATTTTTTAAGGATTTTATTTTTAAATTCGTTCCAAATGGTGGAGGGTATTCAAAGTTTGGCCCGGCCGAACTTACTGCTTTTTAACTTGTTTCTCTTTCTCAATTACAATTTTATTAAAATACCAAGATTTATGACCAACGTGAGAAAAAATAAAATTTTGCCAAACTTTTTGAACCAACCTCGTACATTTTCCTTTGATATTTTATTTATGTGTTCCTTGACATTTTTTAAATATTTTTAAATTTCTAAAATAAGTTTTCTTGTCTTTTTTTCCAGTGTTGCCGCTTGCAGTGCCTCAAATCGCATGACCGCTTCCAATTTGGCCATTGTCTGGGGACCATCGCTCTTCACTTTGAATGAGGCCAACACCTATGATATTGGACGCATGAATACCATAGCCAAAATGCTAATAGAAAACTTTGATCGAATTTTCTACACAAATGAACGTTTGCTATAAGCTAAAACATTTATTGTTATTATCATTACTATTATTAATATTATTGTAATTGTAATTATTAACAAATTCATTATTATTATTATTATTATTGTATACATACAAAAAATGTTTATTATTAAATTATTTATTAAAAAAAATATAGATCGACTTCCACAAGTGCATGTTTGTCAACAAATTGAAAATACAATAATTAACAAATAGAAAAAAAAGCTTTACTCATTAGTTTTTAGATGGAAATTAATACGAAATATATTCTTATAATGATGATGATGATGTTTATTATCATCATTCTTTATTATGAATAGATAGATTTATATTATTGAGACTTGAAAATAACAATAATATATATTTTTTTTAATCTTTACTCATATACTTATACACTTGTAAATACAGTTTGTCAAGAAAGTATTGAAACAAAATTTATTTGATTTTCATAATTAAAATTTGAAGCAATTTTTTGTTCTATAAAAACGTGAAATTGAAACTTAAATAAAAAATCTGGATAAATATTAAAAAAAAAATACAAAATAAAAAAAGTAATAATAATTCTCATCCCACATTTCCATAGAATAAAAATCCTGCTCCTAGTATTGTTTTTTTAATATTTGTATGTATTTTTTTTTAATTTAAAACTATCGATTTTGTTAAATACTTTCTTGATAGATTGTATAAACTTATTTATATAGTCACATGCTGATAAATCGAACTAATATCACAACATACCAAATATTTTGTGTTAAAAGACATACTTATAGAACATCACATTAGTTTCATAGAAATATTTAGCCAACCCTCCCTCCCCCCGCAAATAGTTTTCCATAAAACAATATGATAATATTCATATATAAAAATAAACGTTTTGGAGCTGATCGCAGCGATTGGCCTTTGATTTACAGAGTGTCATTTTGGTATTTTAAAAATGGGGCCTTGCAAATTTGTATATTTTTCAATTTTCATATATACTCAAATCTTAGCCCCCAATTCCGAACTTTTAGAAACATCCTAAATTTCACCCTAGAAACCAATGATAACTTTTAAAATGTTGTTTTCTATATTGTTTTAGGTGCTCCCTTAAAACATAAACTATGTTTTATGTATTCATTGTTTTTTAATAATTCCAAATTATTTTAATAAAAAATTTCCATTTTAAATTTAAGTAAAACAAACAAAAAAAACATAAAAATATTAATGTGATAACTTAGCTTGGTAAGACTGTGTATATTTCGTGTGCTCCGTATTTTTTTATTTGTATATAAAAATAATTGTAATAAAACAAAAACTAATAACAAAAAAAAATTCTTACGATTTTTTGGGTTAAAAGAAAAAGTAGAACGAACATAATTACAATTACACGGTACAAGAAAATCTAATTTTTTAATAATTACAGGAAAAATCCAATAGATTTCGAAAGTATGACCAAAAATAATCTAAATAAAAGGGGGCACTCTTCAACCTTCTTAAGGTTCAATATACTGTCTTTGGCAATAATATTGATAGCAAGTAAAAAAAAATTAAGTTCGGCCGGACCGAACTTTTAATACACTTTGGGTCAAACGTTTTTATATTAAAGTATTTGAATTCAAACGTGTTCTACTTTTAACTACATGTACCAGTGAGACCGTTTGGATAATGCTGTTAAACTTTTCATAAAACCATAAAGTGGCTGAGACCGTTGTATGGGGGCCATATCAAAACTGGAACCTCTATAGACAATTTTATACTTCAAGGATTGTCATCTACCAAATATTCTTAAATACCAAATTTGAAACAATTTCGTGGGTAAATGTAACTAGGACTATCAGAATACCGAATATCGGTGGGCATCGTTATATGTGCGCTTTAGGGAAACGTGGACCTAAATATTCAATGTTATGCCGCCGGAGTTAGAACAAATATTATTTTTAGACAAATCTATGGAAATATGTCGCAAAAATCATAAAAATACTGAATATCGGGGGGAACCGTTATATGGGAGCTATACAAAAACGTGGACCTATATGGACGGAGCTTGAACCCATTATGACCAACGAATACCATTTTTTGACAAATCCGTGGAAAAATGTAATACCGCAAATACCGAATATCGGGAGGTACCATTATAAGGCGGATATATCAAAACGTGGGCCTATGTTCCAAAACCAATTTTTAGACAAATCCGTAAAAAAATGTGGCAAAAATCAACAAAATACCGAATATCGGGAGGTACCGTTATATGGGGACTACACTAAAACGTGGACTGATATATATTATTTACTAACCAATTTCAAATTCCAATAATCGTAGACACAAAGCAAATTGTTCCGCCAAAGCTCTACGTCAAATAATATGGGCTGTATCATGATTCCAAAAAAAAAAAAAAAAAATAAAATAACAAGTAAGCAAAGGCTACAGTCGAGCGGGGCCGACCGTTGAATACCCTACAACACTATAATAAACGATACAGTTTATATAGGCGAGATACTCGAAAGAATTCCACAAGATATTGTGACAAATAATAAAAGAAAACCATCAGGTTTCGTTCTCTAATTTTCGAATAATAGCAACCTAAACTAATTTGTTCATTTCTAATTTATTGGTAGATGTTGCACTTAAATGGTCTTCCTAGATCTGGAAGCAATATTTCCCAAAGACCTATAATCTCTCAGAAGTGGCAAAAGATTAACATTTATTATTGGTTTTTGACTGAAACGCATCTGTATGAGATACAGACATTTGACTATATTCTTCAACGAAATCAGCGTTAACGAAATAGTCAGAAGTGCGTCTTTCCTGTATTTGTGAATTCTCCAAAAAGTCACTGGAATGGACATTTTCGTATTTTGTCTACAAAAGTTGGCAAACTCCTTTACACATTTAATATTTTTTGATGGCCATCCAAAACTGCTTGGCTTTTGCAATGTCCGGTAACCCCCATTCAAATGTGCGTGAGGATCGGGCGATAATTACGACCTGCTGACAATTTTACAGTTTTTTGGTCCATTTCAACCCCTAAATATATGACGATCATCTCCAAAAAGAGTAGGTTTCTATTCTGACCCTCATCTTATCCCCATGCAAAATTTCGTAAGGATCGGGCCATAAATGCGATCTGTATATGATATCATAATATCCTAACTACTTAGTTTTGTTAGCTGTAGAAATATTACCAAATGTTTAATTCAAAATAAAAATATGTCAAAAATATGACAAAATTGAAAAAATATGAGAAAATGTTACATCTTAAGAGAGATATTTTTATGCGATTTTTTTAGAGGTTTTTTCTTTCCTGCCAAGAGGTCATTCTGAATTAATGAGAACTGTCGAAATCAGTTCAGCCGTTCTCGACATATAAGAGATCTTTCAAGCATATCTTCTTTGATAGACATATATATCGCACATATTTTGCTATATATCCGATTTGTTGGATGTTAACATCAATGTAAAGATCAGAAGTAACCTTGTCATGGCTTTGTGATTTCGCCGGGATTTAAAATATTCGCGGTTTTATGAAAAATTTTGAATTTTTTCAACAAAAAAAAAATATGGTCTATTTTAGCCGCTAAATATTATCCGATGACCACCCAAATTGGTAGGCTTCTTCCCCGCCCTAAACTCTAGCTACATGCGAAATTCCGCGTCGATTGGTCTATAATTGCGACCTGTATAGCTACTGCAAAATCCGACATTTTTTCAGTATTTGGTCCATTTCCACCCCTAAACATTTGGCGATCATCTCCAAAAGAAATAGGGTTCTATTCTGACCCTAGCCCCACCTCCATTCTAAATTTCGTGAAGATCGGGCCATAATTGCGACCTGTAGAGTGATTACAAATTAACATGGACAGACGGACGGACGGACATACATAGCTAGATGGACTCAGCTCGGCGAGCTAGGAAGATCCATATATACTTTCCTATGTGGGAAATCAATATTTCGAGGTGTTACATAATTTTTGGCCCAATCAAACTTATAATACCCCCAACACATAGTGTTGTAGTGTATAAAAATACGGAGAGACAGACGGGCATCGTTAAATCGAATTTTATGCTGATTATGAATATACAGGGTGAGATAAAAAAGCTGCAACAAAGTCAAACATCATAATTTTTACATTTTTTTTTTTAATTTTATTGAATGAAAGCAAAAAAATCGGAAATAGTATCAAATTTTAGAATAAGTTTAGATTTGTTCGAATTGGTCATTTTTGGCACAAATTATGGCCTTCAAACGACCAATGAAACCGTCACACGCTGCCCGAATGTTGCTCTGCGGTATTTTGGCCCATTCCCGGCGAAGCGCTTGCTTGAGGTGATCGACACTTTGGTATTTTTTGTGCCATCCTTGCTTTCCAAAATACTCCAGACACAATAGTCCAACGGATTGGTATTCGGGGGTTTTGGTGGAAATGAAGCGAGGAACCTCATTTTGTAACCATTAATGGGTGGCGCGTGCTGAGTCCTGTCGGAATGTCCAAGGTCTGCGGCCAAAATGTTTGTGTGCCTAAGGCATTAATTCACCCTCCAGAACATTTTCGCGACAATATTCGGCATTTATTCCGATGCCACGGTCGATTAATACGAGCGGAGAGCGACCATCGGTTGTTATGGCGGCCCACACCATCACCATGGCCGGGTCTAGTGGCTGACCTCTTTGGCAAGTAAACACGATCATTTTGTGGACATCGAATGTTTTCTTATCGGAGAATTTCAATGGCTTTACCCCGACCTCATTATACCCTCCACCTTGGAAAGGAGGGTATATTAACTTTGTCATTCCGTTTGTAACATCCCTAAATATTCGTTTTAGACCCCATAAAGTATATATATTCATAATCAGCATAAAATTCTAAGTCGATTTAACGATGTCTGTCTGTCCGTCTGTCTGTCTGTCTGTCTGTCTGTCTGTCCGTCTGTTGAAATCACGATACAGCCCACATTATTTGAGCTCCAAAATTTAGCAGAGCTATTTGCATTGTGTCTAAGATGGTTGGTATTGAAAATGAGATATATCGGTCCACGTTCTGGTATAGTCCCCATATAACGGTACCTCCCGATATTCGGTATTTTGATGATTTATGCCACATTTTTTCACGGATTTGTCTTAAAATTGGTATTTGTAGGTCATAGCGGGTCCCTGAGCGTGTGGCAAAACATTGCATGTATAGGTCCACGTTGTGGTATAGCCCCCATATAAAGGTACCTCCCGATATTTAGTATTTTAGTTTTTTTACCACATTTTTTCACGGATTTGTCTGAAAATCGGTATTTGTTGGTCATAATGGGTTCCAGCTCCGGTGGCGAAACATTGTAATTATAGGTCCACGTTTTGGTATAGCCCCCATATAACGGTACCTCCCGATATCCGGTAATTTGATGATTTTTGCCACATTTTTTCAGGGATTTGTTCGAAAATTGGTATTTGTTGGTCATAATTGGTTCCAGCTTCGGTGGCGAAACATTGCATGCATGGGTCCATGATTTGACATAGCCCCCATATAACTGTACCTCCCGATATTCGGTATTTTGATGATTTATGCCACATTTTTTCACGGATTTGTCTGGAAATTGGTATTTGTAGGTCATAGCGGGTCCCTGAGCGTGTGGCAAAACATTGCATGTATAGGTCCACGTTGTGGTATAGCCCCCATATAAAGGTACCTCCCGATATTTAGTATTTTAGTTTTTTTTACCACATTTTTTCACCGATTTGTCTAAAAATTGGTATTTGTGGGTCATAATGGTTTCCAGCTCCGGTGGCGGAACATTGCATGTATGGGTCCATAATTTGGTATAGTCCCCATATAACGGTACCTCCCGATATTCGGTATTTTGATGATTTATGCCACATTTTTTCACGGATTTGTCTTAAAATTGGTATTTGTAGGTCATAGCGGGTCCCTGAACGTGTGGCAAAACATTGCATGTATAGGTCCACGTTGTGGTATAGCCCCCATATAAAGGTACCTCCCGATATTTAGTATTTTAGTTTTTTTACCACATTTTTTTACGGATTTGTCTGAAAATTGGTATTTGTGGGTCATAATGGGTTCCAGTTCCGGTGGCGAAACATTGTAATTATAGGTCCACGTTTTGGTATAGCCCCCATATAACGGTACCTCCCCATAATCGGCATTTTAATGGTTTTTGCCACATTTCTTCTAATGTTTCTTTTACCCTAAGGTGGAGGGTATTAGCCACTTGTGGTTTTCTAGCCAAATATAAAGAAATCATATTATCACCCATAAATAGCTAAATGCTTTTGTACGCTTGTAAACAATATAATGAGCTGTCAGTTGAATAATTTTAAGATCTGTCGG